CTGCCCACCCCCCCACCCCCCAAATCCACACCCCCAAACAAGTCAGCCGCTGCCAAGCAGACACCTTCCAGACTTCCTGCCCCGGAGCACCAGAAAAAGCCTCACGGCCCAGTCAACCATCCCTTGTGCCCCACCCCAGCGGAGAGCCGGGAGCAGCCAGGGAAGGCCCCGTCGCCTCACCTGCAATTTAAATGGAAACTCCTGTAACCCCAGGGCGTGAGCTGGGCGGTGCCATCGCTAGCCAAGGCCTGTACGAGGCGGCGGCACTATGCTCTCTGCCAAGGAAAGTCAGAACCCCAAGCCTGTTGTCATAGACCCCATACTGCAAACAGGCAGGGGAGAGTCCCGTGTGCTGGTCCTGGGCGACCTGGGGGCACTGTGGCCACGAAGGTCTGAGTGGCACCAGGTTCGTGACAATACTAGCCAACTTCCTCGCCTCCCTGGCCCCAGTGTGAGGCCGATGCTCTGTGCGTTTGTAGGGCCCTTTGGAGCCCCCATTAGCCACCAGAGCTGGGCCGCAGCTAGTCCACGTCCTGCCCCCACAGCAGGGAAAAGGAGCCTCTCTGGGGCTGGGCCAGAGCCCAGAACCCGGCTCCGAGCTTCCGAGGGGCTCAGGGCTGAGAGTCGGAATCTCTCTGGTCTCCCTAATGAGCCCAACTGGCTCCTCGGCCCCACACATCAGCCCCAGCCCGGGCCCATCTAGCCCGGCCTCCAACCTACCAGCAACGGGGACAACCAGCCCCCGTGGACCTTCCGCCCAGCCCCACCCCAGGTTAGGCCCAGCTCATGCCCTGCCACAGAGGGGGGTCAGCCCCCCACATCCTGAGAGACCCGAACCCCCCACCTGCCACAGCCCCTGTCCATGGGGAGCCCCATGGTCCAACTCCAGGGATGCAGTTTGCAGCTGACCCTGGGGAGTCTCCAGCCTCCCCCCCTCACCCCCCGCAGAGCTGGGCTGGACCCTGGGACCTCCCAGCCATGGCTCGGCCCCCCAGATCCCCGCCAGCAATGGGGCAGGGAGACACGCCCATGGGCGCTGGGGGGGGACTAGGGGGTGGGGGTGACGCAATCAGGAGCCGGCCCGAGGGAACGAGGGGTGCGGGGGGGGGGGTCCAGGCCCGACTCACCCAGAACAAGAAGTTGAAGAAGAAAACCAGGAACTTGACGCATTTCATGCCGCCTTCCAACGCCATGGCGCCCGGTGCTGGGGAGGGACAAAGCGCTCAGAGCCC